ATATACAACATGCGCATAATGCATATATAATATACACACAATATCATACACACATATATTAACAAATGTCAACCACAAATGTTTCGATACATAAAGAAAGAGACGAGGGTGTGTGAAATGATCAACTTTAGTCACATGCACAGCGGATGCTACATTTGACACAACAGTAACAAAACTACCCGCCTACAATGTAACAAACATTTATTAAGCGCCTACCACATGCCCAGACGCTGCTAAGCACAGGGGATGAATAAGAAAAAGAAAATACCAATTTTAATTACATACAGCTTGTAAGTGGATGTTAAATTTCGACACCACTCTCACCAACCACTCACTCCACCTCTCTCTTTCTCTCTCTCCTCCCCCAATGAAATTCCTGCCTCATAATAAAGAAGTACAATCAAGCAAAGAAAAACTCCTATATGTGCCCTGTATGAAAATGCACCTCTCTGCACCCTCCAGCCTCCAGCTCTCTGCCGTGTCTTGAGTCTTCTGGAATCCTGAATGGTTACTACTTCGGTGGTCAGACTTCTTAATTTTTTTTTTTTTGGTGAGGCAATCAGGGTTAAGTGACTTGCCCAGGGTAACTTGGCTAGTAAGTGTCAAGTATCTGTGGAAGTCCTTTATAAACCTGAAAGTATGCTACCAAAACAAAAAAACAAACACCACCACCACCAAAAAACAAAATAAAACAACAAAAAAAAAGAAAGTTCTCTACAAAGGTGAATTATTTCCCCAGTCTAAGCTTCCCGGGCCGCTAGGGGGCGCCACATTGCACAGAGTGCTGGGCCTAGAGTCAGGAAGACTCATCTTCCTGAGTTCAAATGCAGTCTCTGACATTTCCTAGCTGTGTGACCCTGGGCAAGTCACCTCTTCTGTCTGCCTCAGTTTTCTCATCTATAAAATGGGGGTGACAGTAGCACCTACCTCCGGCAGTCCTTAAAGCTCTCTATAAATGCTGGGTATTATTGCATCCAGTGCAAAAAATTAGCTGGAATTCTGAGCTTATTATGGATAAGGTGCTTTCAGGGTTGCTATAGTGATATCAGGCGTAATCTTTTTTCTCAACAACTTAAAATCTTGTCCAGGAGACCAGACTTGTGGGTCTCACTCATAAAACAATGTAATAGTAGTAACAGCTATATGCGCTCTAAGGTTTGGGAAGCGCTTTACAAATGCGATCTCATTCGGTCCTCCAACAACCAGACGAGGGAGGGGCTGTTAGTATTCTCATTTTACAGATGGGGAAACTGAGGCAGACAAAGATGAAGTCACTGGCCTGGAGTCACACTAGTAGTAAACATCCATCGCTTAGCACGGTGTCTGGTTCACAGTAGGCTCATAATGAATGCTTATTGATTGATTGGGGCTGAATTTGAACTTGAATCTGACTCCAAGGCCAGTGCCCTCTCTGCTGGCTGCCTCTATATGAACACATACATATACACAAACTAGAGATGAACTAGGAGAGAATCCCCAGATCTATTGAATGAGCTTCTCTGAGCCTCAGTTTCCTCCTCTGTGAAATGAGGGAGCCTCTTTCAACTCCAAATCTGCTGGGTTCAAGGCTGCTTGCGGCACAGAACGGGTAAGTTAACTGGGGTCGGATGACTTTGAGAGCCCCCGGGCACCCGCTGTCCTGCGGCGGAACGGCAGTCCGCATTGAGGGAGGGGCTTGCCACACTCACATCTCTAACCAGATGTTGGGGGGCGGGCTCTGGGGGGCTGGACCGCTCTCCTCCCAGGCTCCAGCTCCCACTGCCTTTCGGACATCTCAAACTGAGTCCCTCCGGCCCCTCATACCCAGCCCTCTTCCCAGCATCCTCCCAGTCACCAAGCTCACCGCCTCGGGTACCATCTTTGCCCTCTCTCACCTTCTCCCAATGAGTTCCCAGATTCTGAAGTCTCCCCTTCCATGACATCCTTCAGATAGATCCCCGTCTCTTCATTTACAAAGTCACCCCCCTAGTTCAGAGCCTCATTCCCTCTTCCCTGGACTGTTACAGCAACTTTCTGGTGGGTCTTCCTGCCTGAAGCCTCTCCCCTAACAGCCCTTAGAGATCATCTAGCCCAACCTTTCCCCCCAAAATTCAGAGGAGGAAACTGAGGCAGAGAGGGGTAAGTGAATGACCCAAAGTCACCCAGTGAATAGCAGAGCTACAGTAACTCAGTGCTGACCTGTCTGGTTCAGTTGCATTAGAAGTGTAGAGATGGATCTAACACCGTGCCTCAGTCTGCCTAGGAGAACCTGTGTGGAGGTGGGACAACGGGAGACGTAGGGAGAGGCAAAACTCTAGGGGACCCAAAGTGGACAGAGTGCGGCTAACTTTGGAGTCAGGAAAACCTGGGTTCAAATCCTGCCTTGGGCACTTACTAGCTATGGACTCTGGACAAGTCACTGCCCCTGCCTGCCTCAGTTTCCTCATCAGCACCTACCTCTCCAAGCTGTTACGAGCATCAAACAAGATAAAATGGGTGACCTTGAAAGCACTGTGTAAGTGCTGCCCAGTGTGATTACGGAGTTCGGGAGAGACGAGGCAAAAGGGATTCCCAGAAAGAAAACAGCGAGAGAGAGCGGTACCAAGAACGAGTTTCCTGCTGGCTCTGGTCAGCCTGGGGGCCGATGGGGTACTTATAAATAGACAGCCAGGGATGCGCAGGTAACTGAGCAGCTTCCAGTGTGACGGATCCAGGACCATCTGGCCTTGAAAGGGAGCCGGGCCTTCCCCAGCCCCAGACCTTCCTGGGGTGGGGCTGGGTGACCGCCGCTGAATGGGGCCCCTTGTTCTGCAGAGCGCCGGCTCCCCCGGCCCCGGCTGATCCACTTTGGCCCCCGTCGCCGTCTGCCCGCAAGTTTGCGATGCACTCCAGCGACAAGGCTTGTTGAACATTCAAACAGACAACCCGTGGGGCTCCCAGGGGAGCCGGCCGGGAGCAGACTACATTTTTCCATCCTCCGGGGTCTCCACCCCTCTCAGGAGTCAGCCTCCCAAGATCTCAAGCCAGCAACAGGACAAAGACCAGATAAGGGCTGTTTGTCTTGCCTAAGGCTTCTCTGGAAACTCTGCTCTGGTTTCAAGCCCTCCACCCCAGGTAACTCAGTTCTACTGAGTGCATTTGCTAAGGGGTAGATGATAAAACCACATTCCAGGAGTGAGGGAGCCTCAGGAATACACAGGGAGGGGAGGCCTGGGGCCACCCAGCTCCCAATGTGTTCCTTCAATTTATGGGACCTTGATGGCCTTGGCAGCCTTCTGCACCAGACACCCAGTGCTGAGGAGCTGGAAGGGGTCTTGGAGGCCATCTCTGTCTAATGACCAGGAATAAAATCTAGACCCTTCTCGAGTCAGGGATCCCTTCGAGTCTGGACCCCTCTTCAGAATCATGCTCGTAAATGCATCCGTTGTATAGGATTCCAAAGGAAATTAATTATATAGAAATACATACGTAGAAATATGTGTTAATTAGCTAATTGGCAAAAATATGTTTTTCAAAAAGTTCACAGACCCAGGTTAAAGACGCCCAGCTCTAGTCCATCACTCTCATCTCACAGATAAAGAAAGGGATAATGGATGAAGTGTAAGCCTTGTCCGTCTCATTAACAGCTCAGCCTCAGTTTCCTTATCTATAAAATGGGGATAATAATAGCATCTACCTCCCAGGAAGGATCAAAGGATGTGTAGAGTGCTTTACAAACCTTAATACATTATATAAATGCTAGTGCTATTAGTATTGTTATTATTTTTATTATTATTATTATTAAGCTGGGAGGGATCTCACAGGCCATCTGGTCTATCCCTCTTGTTTTACAGACAAAGAAACCGAGGCCCAGACAGAGTCTAAAGGATGCTAGGTCTAGAGCTTAGATGGGCCTCAGAGGCCATCTTAGGCCCACTCCTTTACTATAGAGAGGTTGACTGCTTTGCCTAAGGTCGGGATTTGAACTCAGGTCCTCTGCCTCCAATCCTAGGTTCCATATTGTTTCTCGTGGTTAAGTAGGTTGCCCATGTGGACCCAGCTAACTTGTATGCGAAAATCTTACATGTACATTTGACCAGGCGAATCTAGAGTTTTGGAACAGGCTGGATGAGACCTTAGCAACTGCCTAGCCTCTCATTTCATAGAGGCAGATGCGCAGGCCCCGAGACATCTTAATTGAAGACAGGGATGGAAAGACGATCGAAGATCTAGTCCAACGCCTTTGTGTCAACCCAAGCAGAAACCGAGGGCAACAGAGCTGAAGAGGCCTGCTCTCAAGGTCATACAGCAGTAAGTCAGTGACAGAGCCGGGTCTGCAATTCTGGATCTCCCGACACCCAGCCCAGGATGCAAAAACCATCCATAAAAAAGCCCAGTCGTCAGAATTTTAAAAAAATCTAAACCCTGACCTCCAAGAGAGGATGAGACTTCCTACTACCACCTGGTCTCCTCAAGCTCATGTCTAAAAGTTCACAAAGCACCTTCCGGTCTGTCCGCCATCTCATCTGATCCTCACAACCATCAAAGTGTTGGTGATGCTAGGCCTCTCACCCCCGTTTCACAGATGAGGAAACTGAGGCTCAGAGAAGTGACCCACTGTGGGGTGAAAGGGTGAGCGGGGTGATCCACTTCTTTCACAAAGAAGATCTGGCTTGAGTGGCCCCAGCTGCACGATTCTGGTTGAAGCCTTCTGCCCTCTGATCCCTTCTACCCTATCCAGAGAACTTCTATATTTAGGGCATAACCAAATAAAATTTCTCCCAACCCAATTTAATTATAAAATACGATGATGTAACATACACACATTTAATTATAAAATACGATGATGTAACATACACACATCACAAACCAAGTGACATCACAAATACTAGAGGTAACAGTGCCAAACTGCTTTCAAGGGTCCAAAACAAAACAATTTGTCCATACATGACTGAGCCAGAGAAAGGCAGGTGACTAGAAATATTTTTTTAAAAAAGGAGGAAAGAAAGGCTATACATACCTATTTTTTCCCCCTAAGCTAGCTAAAATAAAATTTAAGACAACCAAAATATGGTAAGGTAATCAATCTTTTTTTTTTAAATTTTTTAAAACATAGATCCAATTATTTAGAAATCCAGTTTGAGTTTGGGGAATCTAGTCTAGTCAAACAAATTGCAAGACTATGGAACTATGGTACCCTTCATGTCTGTGTTCTGTCCCCTGAAGACAGCCCCTAGCCTAGGTGACGCCCCATGCCTTTGTGTTTACAGACACCAAGTACACTTACCTCTGCACTTCTTGGCTTTGGCAGGTGGGGTTCAAAGGCACTGTGACTGACTGACGAGTGAGGTCACCTGGGTTCTAGTCTTTCCAAGCTCCTGGTTCCCTAGTCTCTCCCAACTAGATGGTGAGGTCCTTGAAAACAGGCTGGGGAAAAGCATGAAGCCAAAGCTGTGAGAGACTGGCCATAGCCTTCTAATTCTTACGAATTTTCCAAAAGCACTTGCTCTACTTACCCCAGAGGGCGCTAAGAAACTGCGGGTGGGCTGGGGCCTGTGTGGAAGTGCCCTTTAGTTGCCCCCAAGGCTGGATGGTTACTTTGTGGGGGTGTTCTAGAAGGACTCTCTTGTTCAGGTATGATAGGGTAAGATTCAATGGCCAATGAAGTGCCTTCCTAAAGCAAGATTCTTTGGCTCCTACTTCATGTAGGAGCATTCTGGTGAGTTATGTGTTGCGAGGTTAGGGAGGGCTCACTCTCAGGAGAAACTTGGAAGGGATGTTCTAGGAAAATGTCACATAACTTTGTAGCTCCTCTCTGCAGCCTACCTAATGACCTTTTCCCATTTATTTTCCCCTTTTCTTGGAATTCTAGCACCCTATCTATATGAGGCGAAACACTGGCATTCCAACCTATGGACTTCGGCAGTCCATCCTCCTTAATAAATGGCTCCAGGACTGTTACGTTGATGCACCCACCCTCACCAACATACGGACTTCCAAAACGTGTGCAAACTCGAACGTAGCTACAAAGGGAAGTCCCATGTCTTCCTGGGAAGTTGTCAAGAACCCCCTAGTTTCGAGCTCCTTCTCTCTGGTTAAATTAGTCCTCAGGAGGCAGCTGAAGGACAAATGCTGCCCCATACCTCCCAAGTTAGGTGGTGAGGGGAAGGCACAGAAGATTCCAAAGGTCAAGACCAAGGGGACTGTGGCAGTGAGGGCTGACCCAGGGGAGGAGAACAGAGAGTCTGTCCCAAACAAAAACAAGAGCCCTTCCGGGAAGCTGTCTGGCACATCGGATCCGATGAGGCCTACAGGACATAATAGTGAGGTAGAGGACAGATTCCTACATACTCCCTCCCCCCAGATTATAAATATGAAAAAATAACAACTGGGCAGACAGTCCTTACAATGACTTGTGTTTGGGGAAGGGCATGTTTGTCACATTGGGTCCTCACAAAGCCATGCCATTCTATTGGGAAAGGGGAAGATAGCTTAACACTCTTTATTTCACACACACAAGTATACCAGGAAGGGCCAGAAGTTTGGTGCTTTGCCCGAGGTCACAGAGGCAGCCATTAGCAGAGCAAGATAAAAGATTCTTAAAAAAAAAAAGTCAGACAGAAGAATATTGGCCTTTCAGTAGGGCCCTCTTAATCCCCCGAGACCAAATGTAAAGTCCTTGGGCGTTTAGAGATCTTCCAAACTTGGACCCTCCCTACCTTTGCCCTCCTGGTGGTATCCCCCCCCTCACATTCTAGCACCCAGCCACCCTGGCCTATTTGTTGCTCCTTCTGCACCCCTCCACCCATTTCCAGGCCTTCGCAGACCGTCCCCCGTGACTTGGGATGCTCTTCTTCCTCAGCTCGGCCCCTCATGATATGAGGCTTCCTGTAAAATTCATCTCCGATGCCTTCTTCTGCAGGAGGCCTTTCCTGTTCTCCCTGTCCACCTCTTTTCTATCTTGTGAGTAGTTTGTTCGATATTGCTTCCCCATTGCCCTGCCTCTCTGGCATATCCTGGCTGTGGCTCTGGACAAGTCATGCCCTCTCAGTGTTTTAGTTAACTCCCCAGACCTTATTGGCAGGTGCTGCCAATAAGCGTTGGTAGAAGGACCATCATCTGGTAGTTCCTTAAATCAGTGAAATCATGGGTCTGGTTCCTCTTCCTACTTTCTGTCCTCCTTCGTTAGAATGTAAGCTACTTGAGGGCAAGGCCTATTTCTGCCTTGTATCCCTAGCCTGGCACACGCTAAGCGCTTAAAAAATGTTTGTCTCTTGTTGACAAGTCAAAGAAATTGACCTTTCTGGTTCCTGAGACCGAATAATCAAACTGATTTTTCCTCCGCTTCTAGCTCTGACCTTTTTTCTTTCTTCCCTGTCTAGAGAAAAGAAAATCTAAATGAAGAAAGGGGGGCAGTCAGTGAAGATCTCCAATATGGGGCCATTACCCAAATACCCCCAGGAGAAATCGAGGGAACAGCCGGGAAAATCCAAGACGTGCCTCCAGAAAACAGGAGCTATCGACACTCCCAGGGGGCACTTGTTATCCACGGGCTCTCAGCTGAGCAATACACAGCCTTGTACCACTCAGTGGTGGAGCCCCTGCTGTGGAATACATCAGGGACCCCCAAGAGATACAGCCTGGAGCTAGGGAAGGTCATCAAGCAAAGGCTCTGGGAAGCCCTATGCAGTCAGGCCACGACCCCTAGCCCTGGAGCAGGCCCTGGGAGCTTCCTGAACAACGCCCTCCTGCCCGGGAAGCGAACAGGTCCTGAACTGGAGAGGGATGCCAGCGAGGCACCGGCAGCATCCAAGTGGCCGAAGACTGAGTAAAGACCGTGGGAATAGAAAGGAAGAAGAGAAACACCGATTAATATTTGATACTGTATGTTGGAAAATAAAAAACACCACTTGTACTGAGAAGGCGCCTTCCTGGTCTTTTGCAGAATGGGCCCAAGACTCCCTCGCTGGACACTCATTCCATCCTTGCCGCGAGGCTGAAGCCTATGGTCATGTGGGGGAGGGAAAGAAAAGAGAGGAAGGGGGCAAGAAGATCAGGGGTCTGGTCTCTGCCACTTAGCAGCTGTGGAACCTTGGGGAAGACCTTGCCTTCTCTGGGTTTCATTTTCCTCTTGGATTAATTGGGGCAGGGGTGCCCTGCATTACATTAGGGGGCCTTGACATTTTTGGGTCATGAGCACCTCTGGTAGTCTTATGAACCCCTTCTCAGAGTATTTTTACATGTATAAAATATAATACACATAAGATTGTAATAAAAAAAATACAATGGAAACCAAATACACTGAAATTCAGTTGTCAAAATATTAAAAAGAATTTCTCTACCTCTTCTCAAGGTTGGGAATCCTTGCATTAAATGATCTGGGAGACCCCAGCCCCTTTTTATATCCTTTAATTTTTTTTCTAGTTGTTTGGGGGGGAGGGGGGAGAGAACTGGATGGTAAGGGTCATGCATCAGGGCAGAACAGGGCATTCCTAACTAGAAGTCAGGCAGATGACGCTTATTAAGGGACATTTATAAAATAAATGTGGCAAGTCTGAATGACTCCACTCATCTTGCCACCTCTACCTCCCTAGGCCGCTGAGCCACGGGATCCTTATCAAGCTGCCTTGGTGTTCTGGATGGGTCCTGCACAGTCACTGACTCCCAATCCAATAATCAATGGGGCCCTACAGCCATCCCAAGCCAGGGAGCATGCCACTGGATCTCAGTGAAGGGAGGAGCTTGAAAGACCCTAACAATGACAGCTGGCATTTATAAAAACTAACTTTGTAAATAAAATGCGTTATGTACATTAACCCATTTAAACCTCGACCATGTCTGAGAAGACAGCGAGGTCCCTCCCAGGCCCTAGCGTATTTCTGTTGGGCTGGGACCACTGACTGTGTTTTACATAATGCAAACTGAATACATGAGACCACCTCAGGAGACTCATAATTTGCACTACCCAGGACCTAGCAGCACAGGCTTTATTTGTGGTGTACAGATGAAGAAACTGAAGTTCCAAGAGGTTAAGTGATCTATCCAAGCACTGCTGACCTCTGGTAAGGACCTCTCTGCACAGCACATTAATAAGACACCGGCTCATGCTCTAGAGCTGGAAGGGACTGCAGAGATCGCCAATTAACCTCCTTTATTTCACAGGAGGAAATATACAGGGCTTGCTGCAGGGCACATAGCTACTTTTAATGGAGAAAGGGTGGAATTTCCAGTAAACTTTCACAGCTGACCCTTTAGACCCTCTTGGTTTTTCTCAGAACCGCTGTTGATTTTCATAAGACAGAATGACAACATCTCATACATACTTGATAAAACTGTATTTTTTTTTTACAGCCTTTTGTACACTTTGTTACAAAACGGTAGAAGACTACAACTTAAATCATGTTTTTTGGTCGGCGAATATGCAGAATTTGGGTGCAATTATCATGTATTTACAGGGCCTTGGGTTAGTGATTTCCAATGATTATTCCAATAATGTCACACTCTCAACATAAGACATGGCTTAAGATAAATATATTAGTAAATAAATATTCTGAGAACATATTTCCATAAATGAAATGTGTTGCTATACATATACAGAATATACACAAGTTGTTTTCTAGCCTTTAAAACATTTTAAAAAATGGTAATGTTGGAGAAAGAGCCCTTTGACCAGTATTCTTACAAATCTTTACAGCAAAGTCTTTGACAAAACATTTTAAGTGCTATTGGAGAAAATTTTAAGAACATTGAAAATAGTTCCTCATTAGCCCAACACAACGGAGACAGTTTATATGTAAAGAATAGAAAAAAGCAGGACTGTTTAAAAATAATTCCATCATCATGATTTTCACGTTATTTGCCTGAAACCTAGCAGCGATTAGGGAAGGGGCTGTCAAGCGGAAAAATAGCTTTATACAATGGCTTGGATTGGGGATCAAGTGGGGGCAGACCCCAAGCCATGTCACCGAGGCTATACCTCATCAGTGGAAACCTTCAAACAATCACTTTTTCATCAGCTCCCCCACACAGAACGGAGAGGGGGCTGTGAGGCCTGGCACCCAGACCAGGCTGCAGGAGGCAGGCCCACACCCAGAGCAAGCACATCTTGACATCTGCGGCGGCAGTGGAAAAACTGATAGCCCCTGGATTCCATTTCCTTCACTCCAACCACCACACGCCACAGAGATTCACCTGAAAGAGGCTGCTGGGTGGTTACAGCACCTTCGGGCCTCAGATGTAGTAAGAAGTCGGAGTGGAACATGTTACAGCATCCACCTCTGGAGGCCTCACGGCCTAGCCAAAACACAAGCCCCAAACCCTGCCAAACAGTTCCTCTTTTTTTTTTTTCCCTGTTACTACCCCCTTTTATTAAGCAAAAACAAAAAAATCTAATGGATTTCCTTAAGCTACGAGTAGATATGCCCCTGTGCGTATGTATCAGTAAGGTTGCCACGGCCACGCTCCTTGAAGCGGGGAAGGTTGTGTTACTGTCTTCGCACTGGCAGGGCTTGGCATGGGGCAGGCGCCCGACTCGTGGGGGACTGGGTTGGACTGAATCCCCCAGTGTCAAGCTGAGCCTTTCTGCTGGCCCATTCTCAGGAGGCAGACCCGGCTGGGCTCTGGGGCTGTATTGGAAGCCCCGTGGAACCTGCCAAACGTTTTTACACTCTGCTGGGACCACCTTCAAGAGCTCTGGGGTCACCTCCACCCTGCGGGGAAGACTTCTGGGACCTCCTGCACCAATAAATCTCCTAAAATTCCGACATGAGCCCTCAGTGTCACGCTTCTGGAGGTGAAGGTCATGATCCTCCATTCTTCTTTCAGGATTACATCATCCCTCAGGGAGCCTGGATGGTGGACTTGAACCAAAACCAAAATAAAAGGGGGAGGGGGCGGTTCTCCTATCGTTTGGGTTTGGGGGCATTTTGAAACACTGCAAAGGCCACACCCACATCTCAACCGAGAGCAGCCTCTGGCCGAAGCGCCTCTCCCCGAGCCCTGGATCTCAAGCACTGCCGAGGCCCCAGAAATCAGTGCTGCCGGGCTGCCTCCTCCTGGCACACGCAGCAGCAGCCTTTCTTCCTCTCCCCCTTCCCCAACAGGCATTCTGGGGTGGGGTGGCCAGGTGTCCTGGCAGGCTACCAAGGCCCCTCCCAAGTTCCCTACAACAGATTTCCGCAGGTAAAGGGGGTGGGGGAGGGCGTCCGGATGACTGGTTTACTCTTTCAAACACTGGCTAAGAGAAAGTACCCTGGCGGACTGCCAGCCTGCCTCCCCAACGGGTGACCGTCTGCTGATCTCGTACCCTGAGCAGCTTCTTGGTGACCTGGAACTGCCTTTGGACACAGGAAGGGCAGAAGCTCTTCCTGCCCCATGTCCCCCTGGGCTGACTCTCTCTCACTGGCTCCTATGCATCTCACTGACTTAGGATGCACAGGTCAAGCTCAAAAGTAAGGCAATAAATGTAAATTGAATAAAATAAATTGCCTTTTAAAAGAGGTGACTAGAAGAGTTAGTGAACACTAACTGGGTTAATGTATTATTTCTTTTAAAAAAAATACAAAGGAAGGATGGGAGGAAAGATATCTTTGACAACAAAAAAAAGATCCAAATTCTGGATTGGAAATACCTCAGATTCTCTAATGAAAAAAAAATCTTCCCATAATTACTTGGATATTTCACACCCCCTTTCATTAAAAAAAAAAAAAGAATCCCTCCCACTGCTACTCTGGGACTCAAGTTGTCACCTGCCAAAGAAAGACAGCCTGGCTTTGCCTGGGAGGGAACAAGGAGGGCGGTTAGATGGGCATTCCAGCTGTGCCTGGCCCTTCAAGCGGCTGCTTCCATGGGAAACAAGAGGACCACAAGTGTGCTAGGCCCAAAAGATCCGCAGGGCCCATGGCACGTGCAGATATAGGTACCTAGCGCAGCTGAGGGGTCAAGACGGGCACACGATGCTGGCGGGATCTGTCCTCGGAAACCGGCACCCACATCCACAGCGGCAGGCACATCTGCATGGGCCCGAGGCCCAGACCTCGTTCCCTAGCAGCCATCCCCTGCCAGAGGGGACGGGCTCTGAGGAGGGCCACGCTAACTAGTGGGGAGCATAACTTACATGGACACACTCGCACACATGCAAGACAGCCCAGCCCCACTCCCTCCGGACCCTACCCAATCCGGTCACCTCCATGGTGGGGCGGCCCCACGGCCACTATCCTGGGTCTGCAGGGAGAGGAAGCCGCACCGCGCTGCCTCAGACACAGTGGCGACCCTCCCTAGTCCCCACGGCAGGTGTGAGGAGGGCGCTGGGCTTAGCTTTTGCTGACTAAAGCTGTACAAGCTCCTGTCAGCCTGGGGCTGCAGAAACGATCAGAACCCCTCCAGAACCTGGACGACCCCGGCCCCACGCCTGGCCTGGCCTCCAAGGGGTCCGAGGTTTGCTACCAGAACGACAAAGGCCTCGCTGCGTCGCTCCTCCGGTTGTACCCATGGCAGCAATGCCTTCACGCTTCTGGTTAGTTTTCTAAGGCAGGGAGAGCCCTGAGCATCTTAAAGGCCTGAACTCCCTTGGGGAAACAACAGTATCTACACAAGACACGGTTCATTTTAATGCAGTAGTGTGAGAGCTTTCTTTTCAGCAAAGTTGGTAAGTTCAAGATTTTAAAAAATATATATTTAAATAAGACTTTTTACATTTACATAGAATATTTTTTTAAAAAGCAGAGAGCTCAGTCCTGCCCCAGTCTGAACCCCAACGTGCACACTTCAGCGAATACAAGAACAGGCATTCGTGTATAAAGGGAGCGGGCTCAGGGCGTCGTGTTTGGCGCTGGGCAGGGGGTCAGGTTTTCAAGGGCGGTGCTGCCACATTGGGGCTCACATTCTGGGGGAAGGGGGAGGGCTGGCTCTCCATATTACCACTTTTCTGTTTGTCAAAGCTAAAAAAAGTTCTGCCTTTTTGTTTCTTTTTTCTTTTGAAAGGAAGTCAAACAATTTGGAGTCTCCACCGAGTTGCTGTTTCCAGCTAAAAGTCCATCTGAGCTCAGATAACTCTGCCACTTCTGTCCAGTGGTGGGTGAGGGTGAGGTCCCAGGCCTGGGAGAGAGAACACAGGGGTCAGACAAACCAGAGTACTTGACCAGGGCACATTTCAGCCAGGCAGGAGGGGTGGGGGAAGGGTTCAAAGGTCCATGAGATCCCCGAGCCCCCCCTCACTAAAGCTCCTACAAGGTTCTGGGGTAACCCCATCTCCAGAGGGAAGCCTGAGGTCCCTCAGCCTCTTACCTGCAGCCTCCGTGGGTGCTGCCACCTCCAAAGAGTCCCGGGTGGCCCGAGAGAAAAAGGCCCTGGCTTCCTCCTCATGTGGAAGCCGGAAGGCACCAGCCTGGAAGCCCAGGTCTCTCTCCTCCTGGGCCTCCCCAGGGCCTTGGTGTTGCTGAGGGACTGACTCAGGGGGCTCATCCCAGGAGCCGTAGCGTGGGGAGCCTTGGCAGTCTGTGGGCAGGATCACGTCACAGTCCACGTCCTCAGGAATGATGGGGACACGCTGGCCCAGCTCCCGCGACCCCAGATAGCAGCTTGGCAGGGTCTCGTCGGCGAGCGTGTAGCGCACGCTCACCGCATAGTCCTCAGTGTAGCAGCTGCTGCTGCTACCGCCGGGGGCCCCCTGCTTCTCTTCATAGAAGTAGCAGGGGAGGCCCCCGCACCTCACCCCATCTGTCCTCCGCAAACGGTCCGGGCCCACACAGGAGGCTCCCGCACCAGGCTCCAGAGCCGGGCGAGGGGCCTCAAAGCAGCACGTGCACGACGGGTCGGGAGCCACCGCGGAGGCCTCTGGGCCCCTCCAGGCCCTCCTGATGTCCCACGTGGCCCCCGGAGGAGCCTCAAGCCCCCCTTCTGAGGTAGAGCTGCTCACATCCCTGGGCTCCAGAGAGGAATGGCTGCTGTAGTTGACTTCGAGGCTGCAGCTGGACAGCTGGTCCCCGGAGGGAGAGGCTGCGCCAGGAGCCGGGAGCTCCTCGTGGGGGAGCCCTTCCGGGAGCACCGTCGGTCCCCGGCTCAGGCTGCCCCCCTCGGCGGTCCGGCAGGGACTGCGGCTGCGGTAAATGAAGGGGTCGTAGTCGCTGCTGAGCGAGCTACGGAAAGTGGAGCAGCTCCCGTAGACGCCCTGGTTGCTGACCTCGGTGCAGTCGACCACTGAGTCGCTGGAGGAGCAGCGGCACTGGCCGGAAGAGCCCCCGCTGCTGCTGCTGCTGTCGCTGCCGGGGCAGTCGGCCAGGTAGCCGCTGCACACCGAGCGGTGGCCGTGGTAGCAGCTGAAGCTGGACGTGCTGCCGCTCTCCAGGTGGGAGGGTGGCGCCACCTGGACCACGGCAGGGAAGAGCAAACTGCTGCCGGGCTGGAAGGCACGGGAAGGACCCTGAGGAGCCAGGCCGGGAGGGACCTGCGCCTCCTGCTCCGGGTAGCTAAGGCCCTGGAAGTAGTAATGCTGGTACATGGTCTCATACTGGGAGAGGCAGGCGGCCTTGGACAGGCCGCGCCCGCTGAACTTGGACCTGCGGAAGGCGTGGCCTGGTGCGTAAGTCCTGTGCTCCAAGCCGCAGCGGTGAGGGCTCAGGGCATGGTCCAGGGGCAGCGGCGGGTAGCTGGGGAGGTAGGCTGGGGCCTGGCCCGCGTACAGGCTCTGCTCGCCGTGGGGGTCGACGGTGAGCAGTGTGATGGGGTTCCCTTGAGCGTCCATACTTGTGCGCATGGGATAGGCCGGGATCTGGCCGGTCCTGTGCACTCGCCCCGGATAATGCACTGGTAAGATGACCCTCGGCTGCCGGCTCCGTGCCGCGCTGCTGGGCTCTGAGCACCCAGGCCCTGGGTTTCCCTTTTGTTCTAGGGGAAAGGGAAAAAAAAGTGGGACATCTGTGGAAAGAAACCAAGGTGGGTGACCTCACAGCTAAACCCAGCCAGGTCCCTCTGGTTCCTGATAGAGGCCCAACCAGAGGTAAAACGGGGCCAGCACACCTGCAAAACGGCTGGCACTGTTCTCTGTTCGAGGAGTGACGTTCACTCTGGCCTGCTGCTTTGCCACCTGGAGAACCAAGGAGGGCAGAAGAACGGCCCACGGCTTGGGTGGGGCCAAGAGCAAACCAAGGATACTCCCACTTTGGCCCTCCAGGCTGACCAGAGGACATAAGCTCAGGAGGGTCCGCTCCAGCTGTCCAGAGTGGAGGCCTGACGTTATGGATGAGAACCTCCCAGGCTAAGGAAGGAGAGCCACAGAATGAGGTGGGGATCTGGCCCTGCAGCCACAGGTGGTGACCGACACTCGTACCCAGGAGACCCAGAGCCCGGGAGCCCAGGGGCTAAACCGCCCAGGCAAGGGCCGCCCTGAGGGCAAGCAGCAAAGCCACCACTAGGCTTTTGCTTTCTCAAGCTGCCTTCACACACTTGCTGACTGCCTCTTGGGTGTCGTGAGTGCAGGCTGCCGAGGACGGGAAGCCAGAGTGGCTGAGGGCCCAGCCCATCGAGCTACTGGCAGACGGTATGGGCAGGCCAGTGGCCCTGCCAGGCCTCCCCTGCACACCAGCGAGCCCTACTCACCTATTATATTGTGACGGCAATGGGGACAGGTGTGGTGCTGGAGCAGCCAGGGATCCACGCATTTCTTGTGAAATCGGTGAGTACAGGGAATGACCCGGAGCTCCTACAAATGTAAGAGGAGAACAACATTCACTTCCAGAATCCTGGCTCCAGGAACACCCCCTCGGAGGCCCTGGTGCTGCTCGGCCCCTTGGAGGGCTGCAGCCTGTGCCTCCTTCACCATTCCCAGGCTCCGCCGCCCCACCCTCAGCAGGCTGGAGAGGTGACCTCCCAGCACGAAGCCACATGCCCCCGAGCCGCTGGAGACTCCCCCGCACTCTTCTGGGCCCAAATTCCCTCATCGGTAAAATGAGAACAATGACCCTTCCACAGCCGTCCCCTCAGCACTGTTAGGAGCCGCATGCTCTGTCCACATTAAAGCCTCAGGGACACTTGTGAAGGAGACACCTGACAGAGGTCCAGGAAGTCAGAGGGGCTAGTGTTGACCTAAGTGTCCAAGGCTCAAGTAGGTCCCTGAATAATTAAAATGGGACAGAGAGAACAGGAAGGGGCCGGTGCAGGCCAACGCAGCAGGCCCCCTCCTCACTGGCTGCAGAGGCGCCATCTGAAAGGCTGCCTGAGGCTGATGTGGCCTGCACTGACGCCCAAGGTCCAGGATCCTGGAGAAGCTCCTTCCATACAGAACCTCTGCCCTTGCCCCACTCCTCGGAAAGCCCCTTTTCAGCATGTGCTAAGGCTTTCACGTGCATGCGGCGGGCCACAGAGGGCTGCCGGCCTCCATCTGAAAAAGCCCAGCACAACTTTGGCTCCGGGGGACCAATGGCTTAGCCACAGCTGTCTGCTAGATCACAAGAGGTCTTGGGACCTGGGTTCACGCAGGAATATCGCCCCAGGGAAAGCAACACGATGAATCTTTGAGACACTGAAGTGAGAAGTCAAAAGGGGCCCCACCTACATTTTGATCAAAGGAACAGAATTCTGGTGGTGAAAATGACATGAGCCATCATGCCCGACCCTCTGCGTGTTACTTACAGCATTCCCCAGTCAGGCAGCCTCTGCTGAAAGCCCGCCGAGTAATGGGGGAGGAGGTTACCGCTGCCTGGGGGGCCTGTTCCACGCTGGATGATTCCTCACGTTAGACTGACTTCTGCCTCCCCGGGGCCTCCACCTACTGGTTCTAGCCTGGATGTTCCAGGGGGTGAGAAGGTGACGCTGTCCGTCCTAACCTGGATAACGCTCCAGACCTACCCAACTGCATACAGGCACCGAGTGACAGATGTGCCCAGGGACAAAGAAGCTCCCCAAGGGCAGGGCAATGACTTATTTCTGTCTGGCTTTACTGGTGAGCCAGCAGACGGAGGTGGAGCGGCTGCCATTCACTCATCTTTCAGTCATGGCCCCAGCTGGGGTCTTCTAGGCAGAGATACTGATGGGGTTTGCCATTTCCTTCTCCAGCTCATTATACAGAAGGAGAAAGAGGCCAACGGGGTGAAGTGACCTGCCTAGGGTCACACGGCTAGTCAGTGTCTGAGGCTGGATCTGAATTCATGAAGACACACACCATGGCGCCACCTATCTGCCCCTCTCCCCCCCCCCGCCCCTCTTACCTCTCCGTCAATGTACTTCTCCAAACAGATGGCGCAGTCCGAGGTGGAGCTGCTGCTGAGGGTGTCCAGGGCTCCCCAGCTCCCTTCCCGCGCGCCTTTACTCTTCGCCTTGAACTTGCGGGTCTCCATCTTCTCCAGCGCCTGCACGGCCAGCCTGTTCATGGAATTCTACAAGGGAGGACGACGCTGCCATCAGGATTCTGCCATGAAAGCTTCCCGACGAGGGGGACCACACCCCAGTGCTCCTGGCATCAGACACTCACAAGCTCAGCAGCTAAGCCACACCAGAAGTTTACCGAGAAACTGCCAGGTGGGGAGGGTGGACACGGGCACTAGTGGGCACTGCCTTCAGTAAAAGGCGCGGGCTGCCTAGGACATCTCGCTTGGTCACCAACTGAGCTCCCCGGAGAGACCTGCACTTCCCCTGGTTTTTTAGTGGATGCAATCCACGTGCGACTCATAGGTCATCTCCCAAGTGATGATAACCAATCAGGTTTATCACAACATCCAATACAAGGCACAGCTGCTGACAAATTACATACAAAACTCTGATTTTGACATTTAAATTTCTTTTAAATGACTCACTTCTGCCACAAAGAAATACACAATCAGGCAATGGTAACCAAGCTTAGACTTCAAGTGACCACTGTCTGCTTCATCTCCGCAGTAAAAAAAAAATAATAATAATGATAATAAGAATGATAATAAGAATGAGAGACGGTCCTAGCAATTAAGAAAAAACCTAAAATTATCATCACCCAAAACTTATTTTTTCAGAGGAAATAACCAATCCTACCAGCCAAAAATTTAGTCCTGAAAGGAATGATACAAGCAGAGAACATCCTTACCTTCCCTGGACAAAATGTCCCGTGATATTAAGCTGGACATCACACCTACAGTATGGCAAAAGTTTTGCTAAGATGAAAAATTGTTTATATTTACACATCTGTTTCTGAGAGTTTCAAAATTCCTAATCATTGTGTCAATTCACAAAGTAAGTGAGAACTATTAGAGATCTACCCAATTTGACAAGTTAAGCTCTCTCAATGGATATCCTACTGGAGGCAGCAGAAGAGACAGCTAGCAGGATATAGGTGGGCAAGTTTTTCCAAATAATTAGTTTTTCAAGGTTTTTCAAATAATTACTTTCAGAAACATGGCATTTTGTATTAGACATAAAATTACGCTGGTAACCCTAGAACATTTCCAAAAGTATACAAATATTCAACTTTTACAGTTGTGGGGAGACTTGTCTGTTTTCAGCCAAATCACATTTGACTATTTCCTCATCAAATTCATATTACTCTGTGTGTGTGTGTGTGTGTGTGTGTGTGTGTGTGTGTGTGTGTGTGTACACATCTCCATTTTAGATATCCATACAGAAAAGTTGCCTCTTCAAAAATCTTAGCTAGGGACAGAAGGTTATTTCCCTAATGTAAGCTCAGTTAACATCTTTGAGGTGACCCTAGCAGGAAGCCTAGCAAAAAAGCTGCAGAATTAAGAGAATTCTCTGATCTGCTAAGGTTCCATGGGTTCAGCCTTTCAAAGCTAAGCGCATTCCCAACAACAACTGGTTCCTTCTGGACCAGAGACGACACCACAATCTGGAATGCCGTCCCTACAGCCTCTGAAAGCAGGGCAGGACAAAGGCAGGAATGCCAGCACCCCAAGGACCAGTCAGCAAGGGCTCCGTCTCTGCCCCATGCCCACACTGGCCTCTCAGCAGCAGCAGCAGCAGGGCATCTATGAGGCTCTATATAAACAGTACCACAGAGAGGGCAGCAGCTTGCTAAGGAACGTGGGGAGGACTCTTCTTAAACTGAAGCTCAGCACAGCCATCACCCAGACTCAGAAAATTCTGAGTAGTTCAATTTACTAGCAGGGATCCCCCTTCATTATGCTGTTACAAGATGGTGTCCTGACAATGGGATTGTTTCTCCAACTAGAACCTCTGGCCAAACCCATCTCTCTCCACAGGCCAGGCCCTGGTCAGTACAGCTGACTGGTGCTATGGAAGGGCAGCATTTTCTGCAGCAAGACAATTGCTGAGGAACACAGGGTTTTTTCCTATAATTTCATACCAGCACAGATTCCAGGTTCTGGATTCCCCTGCCTAGAAATCCTGCCTTTTTAACTGTGTACAGATGCATGTGCACACATGGGTGGGGGCACATACACATGCACGCACACATGTACACACAGCGCGTGCTGTTTATCTGGGATGAGTGAGTGCAGGACTCACTTTGTGTCTCCCCCTCAGAGGAGCAGATGTGTAAGGGCTTCAGAACTTTAGACCCTGCTCTACAGCCCTCATCCCTACTGAAATTAAGAGAAATCAAGCTCTCTGTTTTTCTGAGGGAGAAGCTGTTCCCTGCATTTTAGAACAAAGACCATTATCAGGACTTTCAGGGAGGTCGGGTTCTGGGCAGGGGAACAGAAAGAGGGCAGCTGGGGTCAAGAGAGCTGAGGTGGGGTCCTAGTTCTTGTATTTCTTAGTTTTATAGGTTTTGGTCCAGTTACTTATCTCTTTACTCTTGTAAAATGGGGCTGTTAGCTAATCCACAGGGCTCGCGATGAACCACACAAACTGTGCTGACTGGATTCAACACAGATGCATATTCTCCAATCTCACCTGGACCGTTGCGGGTACAGAGGCGATCCTTTTATTCCTCTGTCATGGGTTCTATCCCACTCCCCAAATCAACTGCTCTAAGCTTTTCTTCCCTTCTCCAGCCCCCTCCCACCCTCTGAGCTGAGCACCTCATACTGGGCAGGAAAAAGAGGCCTCTGCCAGAACTCCTCATAGCTCCTGGATAATCCCTCCTGACCCCCACCACTCTCTCCTTCATTCTCGGAAAGAGATTCTTCTGTCTCTTTTTTAAATAAATCAAACTAATGGTGCGTCTATTTCATGTATTTTTTAAGAACCAGCTCTTAGTTTTGCTTATTAGCTCGACGGGTTTTTAACTTTCAGTTTTGTTAATCTCTCCTTTGACTCTCAGGATTTTTATTTTGGCCTTTAACAGATCTTTGGTGTGGTGGTGGTGGTGGTGGTGGCAGTGGTGGCGGTGGTGTTCAGTTTTTCATATGCCAGTTCATGAGTCTGCCTTTTCTTTTACTGCAGTGAGCATTCAGAAATAAAACCTGCCCCCAAGCGCTGCTTTTGCTGCATCCCACAGATTCTGGTGCGTTAGTTCACTGCCGTCAGTATCTTTAAGGACATGGTCGTTTCTTTGATTTGTTCTGTGACTGGCTCATTTTTTTGTGGTTCAATCCTGTCGGACTCTTCATGACCCCTTTTGGGGGTTTTCTTGGCAAAGCCATTGGAGTGATTTTGCCATTTCCTTCTTCAGCTCATTTTACAGATGAGGAAATTGAGGTAAATGGGGTGAAGTGACTTGCCCAGGGTCACACAGCTAGTCAGTGTCTGAGGCTGATTCTGAACTCAGGTCTTCCTGACTCCAGGCCTGGCACTCTATTCACTGCGCCACCCAGCTGCCTGTTCTTCAGAATTAAGTTACTTAGTTTTATGATTGCCTCCCATAATTCACTTAACTTTTCTCTTAAGAATTTAGATGCCATGCCATTTGGCAAATATATATTCAGTATTGAGATTCAATATATTGTCCATGGTACCTTTTAGCCATATGCGTGCTGCCTATTTCTCTCTTTTTTTCTTCTATTTTTGTTTTTGCTTTATTTGAGATAATGATTGCTACACCTGCTTTTTTTTACTCTGGCTGAAGAATAATATATTGTGCTCTAGTCCCTTATTTTAACTCTGTGTCTTTCTGTTTTAAGATTATTATTATTTTTTTTTAACAAATGTATTGTTGGGGGGGCAGCTAGGTGGCGCAGTGGATAGAGCACTGGCCCTGGATTCAGGAGGACCTGAGTTCAAATCCGGCCTCAAACACATAACACTTACTAGCTGTGTGACCCTGGGCAAGTCACTTAACCCCACTGCCTAAGCAAAAAAAAAAAAAAGAGAAAAGAAAAGAAAGAAAGAAAAAAAATGTCAAAAATTAAAAAAAAAAAGCCAAACAAATGTATTGTTGGATCCTGGTTTCTAATCTTTTCTGCCAACCTCTTCCATTTTATGAGTGATTTCACCTGACTCACTTCCTGTTAGAAATCTATCTTATTTGCTTATACATTTTCTTCCTCCCCCCCCCCCCGCTTACCCTTCCTTAAGAATGTTTTACTTAGATTGGCCAACATGACAAAACAGGAAAATTATAAATGTTGCAGAGGATGTGGGAAAATTGGAACGCTAATACATTGTTGGTGGAGTTGTGAACTGATCCAACCATTCTGGAGAACCATTTGGAACTATGCCCAAAGGGCTACAAAAATGTGCATACCCTTTGACCCAGCGACAGCACTTCTAGGGCTATATCCCAAAGAGATCAAACAAATGGGAAACGGACCCACATGTACAAAATATTCATAGCAGCTCTTTCTGTGGTGGCAAAGAATTGGAAATTGAGAGGATGCCCATCAATTGGGGAATGGCTGAGCAAGTTGTGGCATATGAATGTAATGGAATACTATTGTGCTATAAGAAATGATGAACAGGCTGACTTCAGAAAAACCTGGAAAGACTTGTATGGTCTGATGCTGAGTGAAGTGAGCAGAACCAGGAGAACGTTGTACACAGTAACAGCCACGTTGTGCAATGACTAAGATTGTTAAACTGAACCCTTCTCAGCATTACGAGGATCTAAGACATCTCCAGAGGCCTCGGGATGGAAAATGCTGCCCACATCCAAAGAAAGAACTATGGAAGTCGAATCGCTATCACTTATTTTTACCTTCTGTTGAGTTTTGTTTCCTCTTTCTGATGGTTCCTCCTATTGGTTTTAATTTTTACTTACAACTTCACTAATGTGAAAATGTGTTTAATGGGTATGTAAATGTAAAGCCTATATCAGATTGTGCACTGTCTTGGGGAGAGTGGGGGGGAGGAAGGGGGAGAAAAATTTTGAACTCAAAAGCATATGGAAGTGATGGTTGATAAATCAAAATAAATTAATAAAATTTTAAAAAAAAAAGACTTTTACTTATGCCACTGACTCCCTTAATCTACCTTCCCTCTTATTTCCACTCTTTCCTTTCCCTTAACGTCTTCCTCCTGCTGAGAAACATGACTTTCTTCTACCCAACTGTGTCTATGGGTATTCTTCCCTCCTTAAACAGTCCGGATAAAAATGAGATTGCAGTGTTGCCCACCTCCTCCTCCACTGTATGAACTCTTCCTTGTGTGCTTCATTTACGTACGATAATTTTCCCCATTCTTCCTCTCCCTTTTCTCATTGTGTTCCTCTTCCCCATCTTTCTATCCTTCTGAGATCATTCAAACATAACAGAATCACACCCAGGCCTTCTATCTAATTAAAACTCCCTTTATGACCCCTGGTGATAGTACAGTTCTGAGGGGCTGCATTTTTTCTCTCCTCATATAGTAATGTAAACAATTTAACACTTAGTTAAGTCCCTTGTGATTTTTTTTTAAACTAATGTTTACTTTTTTATGCTTCTCTTGAGTCCTGAGTGTGAATATTAAATTTTCTACTCAGTTCTGCTCTTTTCATCTGGAATGCTTGAAAATACTCTATTTCATTTTTTCCCCTGTGGGATTATATACAGTTTTACTTTCCAAAATCTATGTTTCTTATAAGTAGTGGCTGCTTAATCTTGTGTGCTCCTGGCTGTGTCTCTGTGGTACTTGAATTCTTTCCTTTTGACTGCTTGCTGTATTTTTTCCTTCACCTGAGAGCCCTGGATTTGGGCTATAATACTCCTGGAGTTTTTAATGTTGCTTTTTTTTTTTCTTCAGGAAGTGACTGGTGGATGCTTTCAATTTCTACTCTGCCCTCTGGTTCTAAGAGAGCATTTCTTTAAATATGATGTCTAGGTCCTTTTTTCAGGTAGCCCAGTGATTCTTAAGTTATCTTTCTTCAACCTGTTGTGTAGGTCCATTATTTTTCCTATGAAATACTTCACATTTTCAGTGAGAAGAAGTAGGAGAGCACTACACACTGCAACAGCAACACTGTGTGATGATCCACTACGCATAAATTTAGCTCTTCTCAGTAATACAATGATCCAAGAAAACTCCGAAGGACTTCTGATGGAAAATGCTATCCACACTCAGAGAGAGAACTAGTGGAGTCTTTTAAATGCAGATGGAAGCAGACTATTTTCACTTGTGTGTGTGTGTGTGTTTTTTCCTTTCAGCCTGTTTCTTTTTTCACAATATGACTAATATGGACATGATTACGCACACAGAACCTATATCAAATTGTTTACCATCTTAGAAGAGGAGAAGCGAGGGAAAGATGGAGAAAATCTGGAACTCAAAATTTTTTTAAATGAATGTTAAAAATTGTCTTTACAAGTAATCTGAAAAAATAAAATACTATTAAAAAGAAATAATTCATATTTTCTTCTCTTCTGTTCTGTTGACTTTGTTTTATTATTTCTTGATGCCTCATAGTGTTAGTAGCTTCCATCTGGCTAATTCTAATTTTCAAGTAAGGTTCCAGTAAGGTTGTGTACTTCTTTTACCAAGGTGTTTATTTTTTCATATCTTTCTTACATAGCTGTCATTTGTTTTTCCATTTTTTTTCCTCTGCTGCTCTCATACGCTTTAAAAATTTTTTTTTTTAAATTTCTTCCTTTAAAAATAAACCCAAACACCTTACCTCTTTTAGGAATTCTTGTTGGGCTCACTCTCCTCACTCCTTTACTTTCAATCTTTCCCTATTTATTGGCTCCTCTGCTACTTAGAAAGATACCCAAACCTCAGGCTTCCTTGAAAAACTTTCAGATACCCCTATCATCTCCTCAAGCTACCATCCTGTATCTGTCACCATCTCAGCCAAACTGCTGGAGAATTCTGGATGGACATTGTCAGACACACCTCTCATTCCAGCTCCTGGGAACTCAGAGGCTGGCATATCCACGTTCTGAGCTACAGTGGGCTGTGCGTATTAAGCTCCTGGTGGTGGGGGGTGGGGGGTGGGGAGGAGTGTTTCCTCCTCTGGGTTTTTGTGACACTCCCTCACTGAAGTGTCCATCACCTGTCTGGCTTGGCTGCTCCCTCATCCCCAGTCTCCTTTGTGGTTTTACCACCTATACTATGTCCGAGGCTCTGTCCTGGGCCTTTTTCCCTTTCTACATTCTTCAGTGACTTTATTAACTCCCATGAGTTTAACCATCTTTCTATGCCAATGACTCCGTAATCTCTCTCTCCCAAGCTCCAGTCACAAATAAACCGCTTTCTGCATATTTTGAGGCGCTACGTGCACCCTAAAATCACTATTTCTTCCCAAACTCTCCTCTCCTCCAGATATCCCTATTTTTCTGTCAAAGGTAACGCAATCCTTTTAACTATGTTCAAAACCTCAAAAACCTCAGTGCCCACCCCATCCTCTCCACGATCACTCACCACCCTTTTTATCCATTCAGCGGCCAACTCTTGTCATTTTTCCTTCACAACCTCTCAGACAGCCACTAGCTGCTGTCAGATCCCACCGCCTTCACAACGGTCCCCTCCTCAGGCTGCCTGCCTCAAGCCTCTTCCTCTGTCAGTCTGCCCCCCACCTTGCCGCCCCCAGGACTTTCCCCAAGCATAGCTCTCCCCATGTCACTCCTCTGTTCAACGGCTCACCCATCCATCCATCACCTCTAAGACCAACTATCCTCTGTTGGGAACCAGCCAGTCCCCACCACCCTTTCCAGCCTCATCATCCGTTAGTCCCTCATCTCTCCTCTCTACACTTTTGCACTGGCTGGACCCCACACCTCAGCCCACCCTCTCTGAATCCCTGACTTCATTAACTTCAGCTTGAAGCCTCTGTGGACTCCCCAGCTCCAGGAGGGGGTCACGTATTTCATTCCTGGCCATTTTCAAACGGTGCCCCCTGCAGTCCAGGCCTTCTCTTCTGTCCCTCTCTACCTCTAGAGCCCCTGGATGCATAATTAGAACGTGAGCTTCCTAAGGGCAAGAACTCTTTTGCTTACTTGTATTTCTATCCCCAGCGCTTAGCCCACAGTAAGTGCTTAATAAATGCCTTGTCATTAATGCACGCATTGTTATTCTAAACCCTCCCCTCTCTGCATACAAACTTCTGAGGTAAAGGAAGGTTTCTTCAGCACAGCGCTTATTCCATGCTCAGTGACTGCTAGCTGGGGGAGGGCCTTTCACACCTACAGGCCGGCATTACCTGGCTGCGTCTCTGCTTCAGCTTGATTCTGACGAGGAGGAAGAGGCAGACCAAGGAGACCACCACAAAGAAAGCCAGGAAAATGCCCATGTCAAAGTACTCAGTGGGCTGCTGGGGGGAAAAAGAAATTACGGTTAACTCGCGGCTGTGAATTTCCTCATCTGTTCCTAGCTTCCCCTCTGCCTTTACTCTGTCCCTGAGCACGCAGGGATCATGACCCCAGACCCTAAGGCACAGGCGCTGGCCCTCAGCCTCGAGCGGGCCTGCGTCGGTGCTCTTCGCTGCGCTGGGCAGTGGCGGGCTGGCTCTCGAGAACCAGCACCAGAGAACAGCAAAGATCCACCCTACGGCAAAGCCCTGGCAAAGAAGCCCGAATACTACCTCTGCAGGACAAAGGAGCGAGTGCCATGTTTGAGGGAACAGTGATTACTGGCCACACAATTAATGCTTACAACAACTCAGAAAACTGTACGCTGTCTCCATAAATACCAGCTTTCACTGCTGTGATTCATGTTTACCAAGGTGCTACATCTCTTTTTCTCCTTTAAAAGGAAGCCAGCCATCCAGCTCATCAGTGACTGCCTTTAGTTTGAAGCTCTCTGTCTCCCCAAGCCTAGAAGACCTCTCTCTCAGGAAAGAGAGGCCAGCGGCTCGGCAGGTAGCCGGCGTGCTTCTGAAGAGCCCAGGCGCTTAAAAGCTGGGGGATTCTTTCAAATAAAGGCGAGGAAAGTTACGTGGAGCATCCGTCCCCAGGCCACACAGGCCTCCAGGCTGAGGCTTGGGACAAAGGTGCCAGACCAGAGTCAGAGGCTGTCGGCATCCTTCCTGCCCATACTGAGGCCAGACCCTGAACTGAATTCACCGACTTCCTGGGAGGAAATGAATTTCTGTCACTGCTAAGGACTAACTTTTTGAAGGCGTTAATCCCTGGGTCAAAGGATCAGGGGCTTAGGGCACCCAGGCATCATCAGAGCTAGGTGTCAGAAACAATTCGGCCAGCGTGTCGGTAAGCACAGGGTTAGCTGTGTTCACAGCAGGATCTGGAAGATCCCGGGGGGCCTCACCCGGGGAGGTCGATGCTGAATCCTTGCTCGAGCCACCTTCTGCTTGTTGACGATGTTCATCAATTTGACGGCATCAGCCCCTTTCACGTACACCACGGGCCTCTTCAGTGGATCTTCTGAGCCCTGGTTCAGCTAGGGAAGGAAAGATGATGCCAAGTGATGGAGTCACTCAAAGGCCCTCGAGGAAAGCGGTTAAGAGGGGAGGGGCAAAGACAGGCCACAGGCCTTTCCTAAACTGCCCCACAGCCAGGGTCCTGCTGCTTTCCTCCAGCTCATTCTTGGTAGCTGGGGGCCTTAGGGAAAGGCAGACTTGGAGACTACTGAGGGGCAAAGATGTGGCTCGAGTGGCATGGCCAGATGCCCGGACACAAAGTATATCCTCAGTCCTTGTTCATTTTAACAAGATAACAAGCACACTAAGCCCCACAGGCCTGGCCTCTGCGCCTCTCCTCTATTCTGGAGACTTAAGGCAAGGCCACGGTCTCCTACAGAACGGGGAGGCCTCCAGTGTGAACCAGAGGTTTTACCTGGTCAATGGCATCTGGATTTTCTGAGACATCAAAGATGACAGCAGTAGCTCCTCGCTGTACAGCTCGCTTGGCCTGAAAAGACAACATGGATTTATGCCCAAGACTTCTCACCCCTTCGAGATGCCCACAATACTCTTCCCCCAAGGAATTCTTTGTGGGAACTCCTCCGCATCTAAGGAGGCCAGTCCGGTGACAGACATGCACAGCCTCTGTTCTCAGCCTTCCCAGCTGAACAGGACTGCCCGCCGGTAGCCACGCTCCAAGCACAAGAGGAAAGTATCTGTTGGGCTGAAGCAGCGATTTGGAGGGTCTACACTTACTGATGGTGGGAATCAATAGTTATTCTAATTTATCATTATATGTTTCCACTTAAAAATAACTAAAGATAAAAACTTTACTAAGCCCTACCCTAGGCACTGTGGGGAACACAAAGAAACACAAGACAAACTGCCTTGAAGAATCTTATCTAATTGTGCACACCTGCACATAATTCACAAGCGAAGCCCGGACGGACATGCCAAGTGTTAAGCAGCTATTTTCACAGGTTCACTGGGCACAGAGCTCAGGGAGGCTCATCGTCGACTCGGACAACCTGGCATAGATGCCACTGTCCTTACAAGGGTGAAAAAGGTGGCGACTCATTCAAGGACTACAAGCCCAGTCAGGCAGTATAAAACAAATGGCTCCTTCTGGGCCAGCTGAGCCATCCATCCACTAGAGGGCAGGCTTGTTCCATGGCTTGTCGGCCAGCTCGTGCCTCATTTGACTTGAGTTCTGGTACCGTGCTCATTCACCAGAATCCCCGGGGGCTACGCTGTACCCTTCTAGTTTAGAAGCCACCACTGATTCCCATGCCATGCTAGAGAACTGGCAGTCCCAAAGGTCCCTCAAACCTGGCACCTGACCTCTAGGGCTTCTTCCAAATCATGGGGAGATGGACAACTATTGGCTGAATTTCAACTAAAACCTCTGCATAACCGGTAGGTGGGATCAAGTCAAACATGATTTGTTAAGTACACTCTACCAAGCACTCGGTCCATTCAGATCTACACATCTTTGCAAAGCATCTTCCCCCCCTCCCCCCAAAGCTATGAGAGCCATTAAAATCAAGTAGTGAATTAACCAGACCTTGGAATAGTGTCACCAAGTCTTAAACCAAGACTGGGGTGGGTGACAGGGGGTGGGTGGACAGAGTCAGAGTTTCCCTCTCTTGGCTGGGGGTGGAAGGTCAGCAGCCACACTAGCTACTCACCAACCCAACTTCACGGCTGATCTGGGCAAGATTTGACTTGGGCCAGCCTCCCCCCACCCCACCCCGGGGCTCCCTACATCTGTGCTTCCATGGTGAGGACCCCTTATCAGCTTTAGCCCTACTGCAGGTTAAAAGATCCCTAAACTCCAGCAATCCATCAGCCTCAGCCTCCCTGGTAGGAAGGATTCAGGTAGCACACAGCCTCCATAGCAAGGTAAACCAAGTTGCAAAGATATTTATAAAGTACATTTAATCACACTGCTTTTAAGGGAAATTACATTAGTACAAAACTAAAAAGGTTTTCTGTACTGCTAAATGCACCTTATATCACTGCTAATTTCACTTTTAGCCTGACTCTCCTATTTTCTATTTCTGTGAAGGTTTTATTATATATATAATATTAATGTAGTAGTACCAGCACCTAATTTGCAAACAAACATTGGGAGTGTGGGTCAAACACTTTTTACAAAGTGTGAAGATCACTGATCTAGGGCAATAAATAGCACGTAGAGAATTCTGAAAAGGCTACCAGGTAACCAGTGATGACGATTCAGAAAAGCAGGGCACAGAAAAGGTGACCATCATGCATTCTCCAGACTGAATCAATCAATTCAGCAAATCTTCTATGCTTCCTACGTATCTTGGGATACAGGGATATAAACGGTGATCCACAAGTGTAAGGTACATTCTTTTCCTTTAAGGAAAAAACCAAAAGGGTCTCAAGGTAAATAAATGGCGCATGTGAGACCCCTCACCAGTCACTGGAGAACGCTGCCTGGGAGAAGAAAGAAGAGCTCGAATCCTGACCAGCAGGGCTTCCAAAGGAGGTAAACAAGGCAGCTCTCTGCACCTTTATGTGGCTTTCGTTTTAAACTCGGATCAAGCGCATCCAACAGCCCCTGAGGGAGACGAGCCCTGTGAACTCCCATTTCTCGGTCTCCGTGGATGAGCCCTCAAGAGCCTGCCTGTCCTCTTTGATGCGGGCACACCTGGAGAGGCACTAATCGCTGCTGGGGATGAAAGGCTGAAGGAATTTGGGGTAGAGTAATTCCCTTTGCTAGTGCAGACACATGCCTCCGAGGCAGGGCTCCAGCAGAGCCTGCCTCATCACAGGCCCTTTGGTCTTCTGTCTCAAAGGAAACGCGAAGGCTCAGGAACGTAGAGGCCGAAGAGCTGTAGGGATGACCCTGTTCTGGCAGGGCAGGATGGGAAACAGAATCTGAGTCGGTTTCTACACTCCACAGAGCTAGTCAAGAATCAAAGTCTTTGAGTTCAGAATGCTCCTCATAGTCTACTCTCCAAGAGACTGGAATACGCGTGTGTGTGTGAGAGAGAGAGAGAGAGAGAGAGAGAGAGAGACAGAGAGAGACACAGAGAAGGGAGCAGCACACTTTGTAACACAGTTGTGGTATAGCAGAATGAATACTGGATTTAATGTCAAAAGACCTAGGTTTGAGCATCTAAACTCTAATCAGCATTTGTGTGCAAATGGAAAATTGATTCACTAAGAGGAACCACAGTCTCTGTTTTCATGGGGCCTTTCACCTAATGGCACCCTGTGCCATTGGTAGCATGGTAAGCACCTTCCCTATCCTACTGATGAGGCACTGAGTTGACCGAGTGAGGAGACATCTCCGGGCTCTGGCTCCAAGTTCAATACCAGCATGAGCATCATGGAGGGGGGGAGGAGTGTCTCTACAAAGTCGGATACTAAAGATTCCAAACCTGATGACTCTCCATGATGCTTCAGTTGATTAGGCTTAATAACAGCTAGCATTTATTTCTGTGGAACTTTCTCATTTTCCAAGCACTTTACAAATATTTCCATTCTCGTCCTCACAACCACCCTGGAGGCAGGTGTTACAATCAAACCCGTTTTACTGATGTGAAAATTGAGGCAGACAGAGGTGAAGTGACTTGCCCAGGGCCACCCAGCTAGGAGGGGTTGGAGGCTGGATCAACACTCAAATGAAAAATGAACCTGTTACACAAACAAACACGTTCTGAACTCAACACTTCCCGACTTCGGCCCAGGGCTTTGTGGCACCCCCTAGATGCTGCCTGGCATTGAGCCCTTGACAATTTGGTTCCGGCCTATCTTTTCAGGTTGATCACACCTCACCGGCCACATGCACATTCTGTGCTCCTGCCAAATGGGCACACGACTGCTCTCCATCCAGGACACTGCATCTCCTCCTCTCTGTGGCTGTGCATAGGTTTGGGCACCCCCTTGCAGCCGATCCCTTGTTCCTTCTCAGGAAGGTCCAACTTGAGTGTTACCTTGAGAGGCCTTTTCTGATGCCCCAGCTTGGTCCCTCCACTCCCACTGACTTCCAATTCCTCGAGGCCAAGAACTACTAGGGGGAAGGTCTGGTGTCTGCTTTGGGTCTTTGTATCTCTAGGCACCAAGCCCAGCACACTTAATACTGGACTGACTTGAAACCATGGAACGGTTACGTTAATTTAGCAAGAAAGTCCTTTCTCATGCATTATTCTTCTTAAATAATGATAACTGAGCTTGGTAGTGCGAGTACCTCCAAGGGTCTTGCCTGCCCACCGTCATGTTGCTAACGCCTCAGTGGTCCACCCTGCTGCCGCGTAGCACTACCCCCGCTGGAGGGCTGTGAGTCTCCTCTCTTTGGAGGTCTTCAGGAAGAGCCAGGAACCAACAAGCACTATCAGCTGTGTCAAGAGTGCGGACTCACATCGTGTCTGGTTCTCCAATTCTGCGACCTCAGGTTAGAAAACTACCTTCACTGCCCCAGGCAAGTCACTCTTTAGGCCTCCCTTTCCTCCTCTGCAAAATGATGGTGCTAGCTAGGATGACTACTAAGGTTCCTTCCTGCTCTAAAGTCAAGAATTCTAATTTGAACACCACTGATATTTCAACCCTACTGCCCCTAGGAGAGAAAACAGGACCCGGAAACCTGAGGGTGGAAAGCCCTTGGAAACAGAGCACCCTCTACACCACTCCCTGAAAGTACCACACCAGGCACTAATCTAGCAGTAAGAGGCCAATGAAAACAAGATGTCGCTTTCATGTGGTCGAGAATCTCTTTAAGATGCTCAAGTTCTACGGGGGACAGGGGCAACAGAACATAAGACCATAGACTGGCACAGAGAAAGAGGTGTGGAACTGGTTCATTTGGTGTGTTCTGCAGCTACATTACTCAAGTCTAGAAAACAACATTCTGATCAGAAGTAACAAAACCTAAGTCTACTGACATGGCAGCCTCTAATCATGGCTTATATAGCGCTCTGATGCTTGGAAACTGCTTTTATACACATTTGGGCATTCAATTCTCTCAAAAGTTTTATAAGGTAGGTACCATAGGTATGTATGATCACCCAACTTGCAATGAGAGAATGAAGCTCTAAGACAGACATGTCCACAGTCTTTAGTGAAGGGTCAGAAGAGGGACGTAATGCCTTTGTACTTGACCATGCACTGCCAGTTATAGACCTCTTGCAATGATAAAATCTCAAGCCCTACAAGTCAGGACCAGTTACCTTCATTTGTAAAATGAAGGGACTGAACTAGAATTGAGACCCCTTCCAAATCATCCAAGATAATGTTTGGAGATTCATCTGACAGAAGATGGTTGAATACCAGGTATCCTATAGGTATTTTCCATTTCACCAATATGGCCTGCCATTCCCTAAAATGAGTTGTTGGCCAAAGATGGTGATCTAGAGGCCAACCTTATGGATAAGAGCCTCTCTGAATCGAGCTTGATGGTCCTGAACACCAGGCTGACACACAGTTTGGCATCATTCAAAGCTCTGGGTCCTGACAGGACTTCACCAGCATTGGCTTTCT